TCCTGGCAACATCCTTCATTAGTTTACTGTTTGTACGGACTTTGATTTGTGAGACAAAATCAGATAGAAAAAGGCCACCAATCCCCCCATGTTTCTTTTGAGAATGCCGCCAACAAGCAGACACATTTATGTGCCTCCAAGAATTACTTCATTATCTTTTCAGTGCAAGATAGGAGTCGCCTTATTTTTTCCGCCAAGTCAGGTGAAAAGGTGAGAATGTCGTGGTGCTACTTGGCTGAATGTCATCAGATAATGATGATAGTCTGACAAAGACACTGACGATAATATTATATTGTATATCAATGGATATGTGTTTTTTTGTCTAAATAAGAGCTGGAACTAGTTCATTTAATACATTTTTAAAACGTTTAGGCTTGCCATTGCTCATCACACATGTACATACAACTACATGTAAAATAAAGCTGTGTATCTATATGTCTAGATGTCCAAGGTCAGATACTAAAAGTATACAATTGTAATGATATGATATGCTTTGAACTGAAGGATAATTCCACGTGATTAGACAATAATAATAATTATTATTATGATTAGTAATTATTTCCTTCATTTTTATTTCTAATACAGCAATACAAATGCCACAGAAAATGATGTCATCTGCCTCAGAAACATGCTGCAGAATGGGTATTGTTTACCGCTGCTCCTGGGTCAGTGTCATCTTTCATAATTTGGTACTTTCAGTTTCTGGCAGCACTGTACACAGTAGTTGGATATTTCTTTCATTGTGGGAATGTTATTGGAGATCTGAAGCAGGTTTATGACCGGGGAACACAGTGAGCCTGCAGGAGAGTACCGATACGCTAAATCGATTCATTCAAGTTTACATTATAAAACGATGCAGACGGTGTCTTTTGTAGTTTGTTTCAATAAAAATGAAAACAATTATCACAAATCGACTGTGATGTGAAAAAATCTGAGATTTTGCTTTTAGGCCGTATCACCCAGACCTAACCAACAAACAGTTATTTTAAAAAGATTGTTTTTTGACAATTGTATTGATTTATTTCCTAATTTCATGCTATATTTGGTCTTACATCGCTGAATCTGAATCTCTCACTGTTGTGTTGGATTGTCTTTACGCTTCTAATTTCATGATTAACTAATAAAAAAAACTCCTAATAATAATTTTAATCAGTTTATCCGCAGCCCTAATGTCAGTTTTTTAATGTTTGTTGATACATATGTTTTCATGTTAATGGGTGTATATAGCATGTCTGTGTACTGGTGTGTTTATCTGACTCCGTGCATTTGTGTGTGTGTGTGAGAAGCCACAGATGGAAAGCCTTATTCAATTTGTCGCTGCCATTCACTTTTTTTGATCCAATGCAAAGAGGCAGATTTTAATCCTGTTCAGTGTAAGATGATTGAATGAGATGTACAACGTAATATCATTTAATTCAATAGTCATAAATCAAGGACATCGTTATTATGTTCATAGCCTTTTAAAAGAGGTTTCTGCACAGGTATACCAAGCATGAATGCTGTTGCAACGATCTACTTGACATTCACAACAGTTATGCAGATTCACACGTTCACAACTCTCATCGTCACCTTGAGGATATTTGTTGAGGCGTGACTGCTAATAATTCACTTTTGCTGCCAGGATTGTGACATCTTAAGCTGAAGTGTGTGTGTGTGTGTGTGTGTGTGTGTGTGTGATAGTCAACCTGTATCATTAATGTTGCCTGAAAGCCTTGTATTGTAATACTACCTCAGGTATGAATAAAAGGCCTTGTTGCCTGAAAAGTGGCTGCAGGGATGATTAAGGGAATACCTGTACCGTGGAGAAATGCCCTCCATCAATGCATTCCTGAACAGATAGTGTACTCCTGGTCTTTTGAAAGTCTAGCAAGGTCCATACTATAAACTCCCTTTGATTCCTCTGGCCAGCCTAAGCCTTAAGTTAGACACTTCATTTGGCTAAAGGATTAGACTACTAAGCCTTTTAGTGGTAAGCTGGTCACATGAAAATCTAACATCGGTTTGCTTAGGCAAGAAAACCTTGCACCTCCTTCGGGGATTTTCCTCTCTTGAACTCTGAGACTCCTCCCATGTCATCCCTGACTTGGCAGTACACGCATGCATGAGTGGCCATGTGGATTTCCTTTTGCAGAGCTGTGGCTATCTGCAGGATTTGGCTAACTCCTGTCTCACAGGATCCCTCTGTAAGCCTTTTCACTCTCCGGAGTGTTTGGCCTGGTGGATGTTTTTCTTTTGTTGGCAAAGAAATGAAGGAATCACCGATTTTCTATTCTGATTACAGAGTTCCATGAGACCTGCTTTTGGATAACGGCTGGAATCAAATGTAAAGAAACTGGAGTGAAAACAACTAACAACCAAGGTAAGAACTGTTTTCATAGCTTTGTGTACACCTCCAGAGGATGACATATTCACTGCTAAGTCACTCAATATTCCTGTTTTTGCACATACTTAATTAACTGTGACCCTACATCAGTGGGGTCTGTGAGTGTATAGTTACCTCGGTAGTGTCACAAAGTCAAAAGACTGGTGGGGTTGGTTGGTTTTATTTTTCCATGCTGGGACACAGTATCTAATTTCCACAGGTGCAAATATCAGATTTGGTTTGGGGGGGGGGTTCCCTATATGTACAGCTCACTGACATGTTTGTCCCCATGCTTTTTGCCTGTCAAAACTGCACAGTAAATTTGAAAGTGATCAAACATGCAGCCTGGATTAGTGCAGTATACACCAGAAGGCTGCAGCTTTCTCTCCTGAAAGCTTTTCCTCTCCTTTCCAGATAAGATTTATGGGCACAACTTTCTCTCTCTGCCACCTTAACAGCAAGAGGGTAACATATGTGGACATCAGGTCTGTGTGTTGCACCAGCTTTTATTTACTAGTCAAATTGGATGTCACAAAACTTTGCATCATCTCATACGCAGTGATTCTAGGCATAATCACACACAATCTCTCCTAGACATACTGTATGTTTGAAAATGGATAATCAGACAAATTACACATTAAATATTATTATTACATATTTACACTTATTTATGTCCTTCACTTTTGTGTCACAGGAATAAACATGTCCACATCCCTGCATGTCATGTGGAGGACTGAGAAATCACACTGAGTCGACAGTAAATGGACACTGAAATTAGCCTGGTGCAGCTCCCAAAGAGCATCATCTTGCACAGTGTTGAACTTGCACTTTTTCCCTTTTGTCCTCGCCACTAACCACAGAATAATGTGGTTCCTAACTGAAAGGTTGTGCCTTTGTTTTACAGCAGTGTTCACGTTGACTGATGATCCTTTTAATAGTTTATATGTGCACTCAAGGTCGAGCACTGCACTGTGCATCGAGAGATGTGCAGCGGGATACAGCAGTTGTTGTTAGGGCCGGGGTTTGGTGGCAGTTTATTGAATCTGAATGCACTACTGAATCCACTATAGATATATACTATAAAAGATTCAATTGAGAACTACAATCAACTTTTTTTGGCTGAGAAAGCAGAACCTGCTTTGAGAGGTAACTAATTTCCACAAGCTGTATCTAAAACCTGAAAGTGAGAACAGCATATGAAATGCTGATGAAATATGTATCTGATGTATTAACATAACAGCTGTAGACACATTGGTGCAACAGGTGTCGCCTAGTGCATACCTTATTTTTAGGAGCTACTTGCTGCTTGAGGCCCCAATTAAGAAGCTTAACTTGATAATGATATGTATGAATGAATATTTAACTCAGAGATTGTGTCAAAAGAACATAATATGCTGTTTGACTTGTTGGCCTTTGGCAGCTTACTTACATGTTACATGTTTATCCAGGCTACTCAGATGCAAATGTGCAAGAGTGTTTGTAGATATTCATGTGGAAGTTTTTTACATAAACTTTACATTGGTACATCCTTTACTTTGTAAGGGGCTAGTACATGAATCAAAACAAAGTGGCTTCTGTCAGAGGGACGGGAGGTGAGCATGGACGCTGCACACACACACACATCCCGCCCTTGTGCTTCTCAGGTGGCAGAGACAACGAGCTGAGCCACTCCCTGCACAGCTGTCAAGCCCATCAGGGGAATCACTTTCCCGCTCTGGCACACACACACACTGTCACAATCACAAATGAGTACACACCCGCACCTGGTCCCACTTTCACCGACGCAAATACAAACATGCACACACACATAATCAAATATGTACAAACATGCTCAAAGACAGGCACAGACAAATACAAACACACAATCTCACACATTTGAATTCATCCACAGATAATCTGAGCTCTGACTGTGGATCTGTAAAGGAGGATGGACAAACTGTGAGTGGGCTTGGAGCCAGCGGATGAATTACTTTTATTCTCTGACAGTTTGACTCACCACCTGGCTGGGTAATCCCAGCGCACGCTTTTGGACAGCTCCTGTACTAAACCTCAATTTCAATGTGAGTGAATTGAATTTCTCAGATGGCCATTCAGGCTCTGCCTGGCACTAACCGGAAGAAGTCCGCTTTATGACCGTTAATGCTGTGCAGAAGAGAGACACAGTGACATTTAAAATGAAACCATTACAGTCAGACAGATGTGCGTGCAAGCTGTCCCTGTATTAATGCTGTCTCCTTTTCTGTTTGTGACATTTGAGTAAGCATTTTTCTTGCTAATCAATAAACAAACTTAATAACCAGCCTTGAGGCTCTTGAAAGTCTAGACAGAATAGAGGACAGGCAATTTTGTTTTACTCTGCAAAGAGGCGAGGGAGTAATTAGCATGCTGCTAAATGATATTTCCAGGAACTGAGGGAATCATGATGGTGAGTAATCCCAGGTTGAATTGTCTTTGTGCAGCTTAATTTGTGGTTGTCTTAATACTGCGATAGGTGCGTTGCAGCCAGGAGGCTTGGCTAGGTCGTAGTGCAGCGGTGGAGGCGTGACCCTGTAATGTATTGGGCTTTATGTTTTGAAGGGCAAGAGGCTCTCTGCTTTCCAGCATATGGTTTTATTGCAGTGCAGGATAAACAAGGTGCAGCTGTAATGTTAGGTTGCAACATCATAGAGATAGAGTGGGTGGTATTTTATGAAACTGTGCGGTTTCTTGGACAGCTCTTTCATTCACTGAAAGGAAGTGGTTTTTGCCTCCTCTTAGCAAAACACAAAATGTTCCTCTTTTACAGCTCTCTGTTGATACTCTACTGTTATTTCATTCATCCTCATGCGAACAGATCAACATGTGCATTAAAGACAGGCTCTGTTTGGGGTCATAAGGAAGGCTCAAGCGGAAAAGCAAACCACAGAGAGTTGAAAGTGTTTGCGGTGTAATGTTGGGTAAAATTGTTTCTGGTTATGATTACTTACCTCTCAGAGCTGTGTTTTAGTTTGAACTAGAGCTGATTGGTGCTGCAGATTGCAAAGATAAAGCTAAAGTCCAAGTTTGGGATGTTTCCAAAGTTGAGCTTCCAGCAGCTGTTTATTTCGTCTGTTAGATGCATTCTTTTAAATCACATTTGTATGATTCCGTGTTTGTGCTGTGAGTAATCATGCATATATTTGACATTATTGCTTAAAAAAATAATTAAAGCATTTAATCTGAATGGTTATTGATACATTTTCTGTCCAACTAATTGATTAATCGACTAAAGTACATGTGCATTCTTGTGTATTTGCTAGCAGAATACAAGATACAAAAACTTCTGAAAGTTGCTCCATTCTGCCACCTGTGGTAGGACCAGTACTGCAGTTTTGAAGCTGATGCTTTATCAATATTTGATAAGAGGATCAGGAAAATCAGCTGTTTATTTATTATTTGGATATATTTAACTCTTTTGACCACAAAGCAGTATATTTTCTAGTTGGACAGTTGGACAAACTAAGTAAAAGCAACATTACTCAAACATATGAGTTCTTGTTACTTGACATGCCAGTTCATGCCAGTTCTGATATATCTTTTCTGATCTACAATCGTCTGATAATATCAGCCATGTCAGTGTAACAGTCTGTTTCCAAAGCTTCCACGGAACCTTTAAGTCAGTTTAAAAGATTGATGTGTTCAACCTTCAAACAAGCCATCAGAAATTCATGCCCGAGTCTCAGAACACAACAAAATAAGATGTCATGTTCCTTTTCAACTCTGACATTCATTTAAAATCTCCAGCAGCTCAAAGGACAGGCTAAACCGCGTTATTGCTAGTCTACAGAGCTGACTTTCTTCTTTTAAAGAATATATTTCATGCTGTGAGAGCACTTTGTTTCATCACTCAGATATAACTGTGGATTGTAGGCCGTGACAGAAGAGGAGACAGGATTGACATATTGATTACAGTGAGTAGTGTGATGACAGCTGAAAGGTTTGCAAGAAAAAGGAAAAAAAGAAGCTCTTTGCTATCTGAGTGGCTCGATACTTTGACCCCTGCCTGGTAACCTGTGATCACAGCTTGGACAAGTTACTTGCGTGTTGCATATCGCTGAGGTCCTCACCAGGCAGCCTAAATTGCCTGCCACTGCAACGGCTCCTGTCAGACAGCCAAGTGGATATCATGGTGTGAAACAGATATGATTGTATCAAGTGTTATCAAGTTTCCAATGAACAATGAATGACTTCTTTTAGCAAAGCAGACAAGGCACATTGTCCTACGTTCACAAGTTTTACTGGGAGCTCCAGTAACAGCTAGTCTGACAGGAATACAAATTTCTGGAGCTTTGGCATTTTAATATATTTACATACTGGAAATGCGTGAACATTTTCTACAGCCCTGTAGCTTTGTCATTGTGTATGAGAAATGCTTAATATATTCTATTTTCTTAGCTGCACTACAGCTTGAGATAGCAGGATGTTTACATAGACTGACATTATGAATTAAAGCCAAACAGACGTTAAACTGCTACCTGCTCCTGGAGTTAGCAGCGCTCTGAACCTTTGATGGCAGTTACATGTTGATAAGGTCTAAGGGGAATGTATAACATACCGATTTCTAATTACAGAGCATGATAGGACATCTGATATAGAGTATAATGAAGCATGGTCGAAGGGAGTATAAATTAAATTGCTGTGTGCAGGACCTCCGTGGTGATCACATCATGGCAAACAGTCACGAGCAGCGCCTGCGGTGAACTCTTCAGGTGTCTTTCAAGCAAGTCCATTTCAGTTTTTACCATCAGTTTTTATTAGTAATTGATGAACTATTAATATAAAGTTGCAGTAATTATTCATGTAATTGATTAGTTGACTATAATTTAAGTCATATTTAGAGTAAAAATATCTTCAAGTTTCTGATCCAGCAATTCATTAAAAAGATTAATAAAAATAAAAATAATTGTTTACACCATGTGTCAAGTAAAATTACCAAACATTTGCTGGTTCCAGCTTCTAAATGTGAGAATTCTTAAATT